ATAACCTAGCTATGCTCTAGCATGGTTGGACTCATTAAAGTGAGACTATCCTCTCACTAGTTGCCATCTCGTTCATTACTTAAGGACACTTTAGTCACTCTAACTCAAGTGGAGTCTCTACGTGTTTCCTAGTTCAATAGTTGTTTTAGAGTTTGTTGATCATTTTCTGAAGTACTAGCTGGCCTTATACCTAGTTCGGGTTCATTTTTTTAGTAATGACACTTTAATTGTTCTTATCGTACTTCCCTTCAATACCTCATGAATTTGAAGGGGCGGCTTGCCCCTCCTAGGTTCGTTGACATTCTCAGAGTTCGCGTTATACTATTATCGAATCTGGATAACTTATTGTACCATTTTTTGGTACATCCTCTATGATGATCCTTGTTTTTAACAACCCGTATACGTACTCCATTGAAGATTTTTTGATGTATTATGTTTAGTATATTTACATCAGTCGTAACCCACTCCTACGAGTGTTTCTAGGTATGTTTAGTCATTTATATCCCTCACAGCCTATGTCTTACTGTTATGAATCTTCATTGGCTCTTACGAGCCTTAAACGAGTCAAATCTAACCATTCAAAGTGAATAGTATTGATACTCTACTTGTAGTATCGATACCCTAGGGTCAAGTATCGATACCCCTATGAGTATCGGTACCAAAATTTCATTCTGCTACTGAAATTGGGGTTGAGTCTCAATACTAACACCCTCGATCTTGAGACCGAAGTGACAGTATCGATACTCCCTAGGGGTGTTAAAAAATACCCGACCGAGCCGAGTACCCGACTGAAAAATGTCGGGTCAGGCCCGGGTCACAAAATTTCTTATTTTTTCGGGTACCCGATTGCCTGAATACCTGGTTATAATTATTATTTTTTATATTATAATATTACATATTTAATTATTAATAATTTTCTATATTAAATTAAACTAATAAAATTAGGAAAACCCACCCACCCAATAATTATACGTTTAATAATTAATATAATATTTTTTAATAATATCAGTTTTATTTAAAAAACTAATTAAAAAATAAAAACTGGGTACCGACAACATCCAGGTAATGACACAGACCTAAAATTCTAATACCTGAAGACTCGGGTACCCGAAAATAGGGTACCTAAATTTGATCACCTCTAATGCTCCATGCCCAGAAACCCTAATTTTTCCCTAATCTAAACGATATAAATACTATTCATCACAGTATCGATACTCGAACCCATAAATGGGTATTTTAGGCACGAAAATCACCTAAAATAACCCTAAAGGTCAAGGTTTTATTCTAAATCATGTATTGAAGTTTTAGGGAGTTAACTAGGGTCTTAAGGTGTCATAAAAACATATTATTAACATCTAAACAGGGTTTTAAATAGCGTTCATGATCACGTTTTCGGTCGCGTCGCGTTTATCATGGTTGCAGATATAACGGATGTTATTGCGGTCATTGCGGATATCGCGATCGTGAATTTTTTTCGATTGAGCTGATTTTTTAAATAAAAGACCTGTTTTAAAAAGAAATTAAAATAACGGAATAATAGCGGTCCACTATTGTCGCGATTTACCGCGATCCGTTAAATTGCGGCCGCAATCCACCGTATTGGTGTGATCCCGCTTCATACTGTTATTTTTCGCGATAGCGGTTTCGAACATCGCCACGACCGCGATATAACGACCGCAACACCACTATTCGGCCGCTATTTGAAACCCTGTACCTAAAACGTGATTTGTATAAGAAATCAAAGTTAAGCCCTAAAATGCTCAAATACCCCAAATCTTAGCAAAAACTATGAATTTATAAAATATTAATACTCCAAAAGATTAGAAATACACTACCTTGATGATTGAATCTCGAAATGAAGCTCCTTTAAGCACCAAATACCTCCCCCTGTGTCTTGGATGACAAAACCCTAAATTTCATTACAACCAAATAACCCAAAGCTTTGCACCATAAAAATGATGTTGCTAGATGGATTAAGAACGAAATTGAAGTATAAAAGATACCCAAAAGCTTACCTTTCAGCAAAGATACTTGGGAGGAAGAAGGGAGAAGAGTTTATGGATAAAATGAAGGAGAAGAAATGAAGAGATGAGAAATATGATGAAATATAAAACCCTCATATTTGTAAAACGGGGAAATTGCACAATTAGTTCTACCTTGTTTTTCATCATTTTAAAAACCCTTTTACTATGGCTAATTGGGCCCAAACCCAAGCCTAATTTAACCCAATGACTTAAACCATGAAATCTACGGAGTGCACTTACCTTTCGGGTAAACCCAAAACTACTAGCTTGTAATTTGGGGTGTTACAACCTAATTTTCCCCCTTATTTTTATTCAATTGAGATATATATATATATATATATATATATATTAAGTTGTAAAACAAAACAAAATGTATGGTCTGCCCCAGTGATAGAGTTGTACTCGATTAAAACTTTTAGTTGTTGGTTCGAATCCTATTAGGTGCAAGAATGGTCGTTGTTATTTTAAGCTTTCATTGTCATCTTATGATTGGATTGTAAGTTTATTAAATTAAATAAATTAAAAATTCTCTCTAACCAGGCGATGACACATCTCACTATCTGATTTGAAAATTAATTTTATTGAATTAAATAACAATTAGGATCAATTTGGTTAAATGTACAAGTAATAAGGACCAAATATATAAATATACTAATTTATTTAACTGTGACGTCAGGTATTACGTTAAAAATGACTAGTGTCTTGATTAAGAACAATTAAACAGTTTACTGGCCTAGTTGACAAAATTGAAAGATCAAAGATAAAAGTAAAAGAGTTAAATAGTTGAGTGGTCAATAGTATAGTTTACCCTAAAATATATTGAATTAATTTCAAAATATAACCAATTTGATAGATTTTGTAAGTAATAAGGATTAAATGTATAATTATATAAATTTTATTAATTATCAAGTCAACACTTCCTTTAATTATTAACGACAAGTGACTTGATTGAATGTATTTAAATAGTTTAGTGATCTGAATGACAAATTTTCAAAAACGATGATCAAAATGAAAATGGAAAATAGTTAGGTGATCATTATTATAGTTTACCCAAAAAAGATGAAAATAATATAATAAATATTTTATTTTAACTAATTTACATTTAATGTTTATACTAATTTATAAGTATACGACGAGTCTTTTTTAATTTTAAAATTTTATTAATTAAATTAATAATATTCATCGTTAGTGATACTCTTTTTAATTTTAAAATTTTATTAATTAAATTAATAATATTCATCGTTAGTGATACTCGTCGAACGTAAAATAAGTATCCATTTTGAAAATTGTTAACATATTTGAATTATTTTGGGGTGTGTAGCACAAACGTGATCAAGAGAGAGTGGTGGTAATACAGGGCCTAGCATACTCGGTGTTTACATACGTGTCCTTGAAGACACATCTGATTGGATTAAATTCAACGGCTATGATCATTTTTAAGAAACCAAATCAAATGTTAAGCAATGCATCCATATATAAAATAAATTTTCTATAGACTTTTATCCTATTTAATATTATTTTCTCAATTCATAAAATTCAGATCTAAAATTTTAGTCATTAAGCACGAACGGAGTGGCTTTCATAGTAAATAAATTATTGTTATTTTTTGAAGATTCGGATTTGAACACCATAAATATCAGATACGTGAATTTTCAATATCAAAATAATGTGAGTTATCTTATAATAGATATCTTATACTTACCCCATATTAACAAAAAAATAATAATAATCATTAAACATTAAACCACTGATTACTTTGGCTTATCAGTCCTAAATTTCTTGCGATGTTATTGTTAATACATCTTTCTATGAAATTGAAGTCGTGCTTAAAAGCTTTTTCCTTAAAAGTTTCCATTTTAGTATAAATAATAATAATAGTAAGAAAAGTTAGGAAAGTTATATAATGTTCGACGAGTATGTTTGAGTATCATTAATTGTGAGGATTGTTGAATACTATTAATTTAATTTATAAAATTTTAAATTTCTAAATGACTCAGCGTATAATTATAAATTAGTTAAAATTTTAAAGGTAAATTATTTAAAATAAAATATTAATTATATTATTTTATAAAATTTTAATAAAATTTTAAATAATTTTTAAAGATAAATTATAATTTTGTATTGTAAAAAAATTAAAAATATATAATATAATTAATTATTTATTTTAAATAATTTATATTTAATTTTTTAATTAATTAATAATTATACGTTGAGTATTTTAAAATTTTAAATTTTTATAAATTAAATTAATAATATTTAACGATCTTTACTATTAATAATGTTTAACGATGTTTAACGATACTCATCAAACGTGACAGATTGATCTAAAAATTAATGCAAGGAATACAACTCGACCGTACTGGTTGCAGTGAAATAATTTTGAAAAAGAAATTAGCTATCCATGCATAAATAGAAACTCATGATCCTGAAGGAGACAAAATTAACAAAGAGCAATATCTTACTTTTTAATATATGGAGTATATGTTTATTTAAATCACATTTTATATAAGCTTCAAAAAGAAAATTCATATTTTATAGGTCCGAAATGAAAGAGCGGATATTATAAAAAAAAATTATTATTATTATTATTTAAATTTTTAGTTCGGATATTAAAAATGTCATAAATATAAATATTTAATATTAAATGAATATAAATTATTTTTAAATAAATATTAACTTTACTTCCAACGTATTAATAAGAAAATATCACATTTTACACGTCTGAAAAGGAAGGGCGGATACTATTGAAAAAGTGAAGGGAGAAAATCCAAGGAAACAAATACTAATCAATTGTGTAAGTCTTACGTCACTTCAAGAAGTCATGAATGATGATGTCATTAGTGCAGCCACGTGGTGCATTGGTTTGTATTTATTTATTTTTAATTAATTATTAGTATTCGATCTATTGATCGATTAATTCAGATCAGATATTGTAGAGGCGAAGACGATCTTCTCAACCTAATTTACTCCATTCACAAACTACAGGGTTCGAATACTGACATTGTTTAAGAAATCTAATGTCTCATCTCACTAAATCAATTTATTGTTGTTTTCTATAATAGTATGATATTATTTGATTATGATTTAATTGATTTTTTATATATATCCATATATATTTTTTGGGTTGCTCTCCTCCAGTTTTAAAGCTTCGTTTTGATTAATTTGGATCGATCCGGATAGCACACCTGACTTTATTAGGTGAGTCTTCTAGTGATGATTTTCTGAATACACAAAGACTTAAACCTAAAACCTTACTTAAACGATGTCAAGTTACGAGTGGATCAACTCTTGTTGGTCTAAAATTAATAATAATAGATAACCAACTAGGGTTTGATTTTGTATTTGGTAAAATATAAAATTATTCGTTAAATATGTGTCCAAATTATTATAGACTTCATATTAATTTAAGAAAAAATAGAATATCAAATAAAGAGATAATCTTCATCTAAATACTAAAAGAATCATAATAAATGGGTAAGATAAGTCAGACCTAAACACTAACAGAATCATAATCTATTAATCTTTAACCACGGTCAACTCTATCAACTAGGAGTGTAAACGAGTCGAGTGGAACTCGAGTATTGATGAATTTGACTCGACTCAAAAACTCTAAAATGGAGTTCGACTCGACTCAAAAACTTGCGAGTTTAAAATTTTTAAGTTCGACTCGAACTCGAAATCCTGAACTGAAGCTCGTGAGCAGCTCGAAAAGGCTCGAAATAAAAAAAAATCTTAAATTTAACTCGATTGAAGCCTCAAACTCGAACATGAACCTTAAATATATGAAAATCTTACTGTATTTAAAAAAATCAATACATAAATATTAATAATATTAATAATTTTTTTAAAAAAAATCTTAATATATTATATTTTTTGAGTTGCTCACGAACTTTTCGAGTCGAATATCAAATAGCTCGTTTCGGCTCGTTAAGAACTCGAGTCGAGTTCTTCGATCCGAGTATTTATTAAGCCTTGATCGAGTCGATCTAAAGTAACTTACGATCTGTCTCGTCTCATTTACGGCCCTACTATCAAACACTCCATAAAAAATATGTTGTTCTAAAGATTTTATTATCTTTTGAAAATTAAGATATTTTTATTTTTAGATGTTATGGAGTGCGTCAAATTAACGTGTAATAAAGGTATGTATATGTAGATGTAGTCATACTACTATTCCTATTCAAGTAATTTTGACGTTCAGCCCTTGCCTTCGGAAAGGGACCTTGGTGTGTGAAAGAGAATTTTAATTAAAATATGACTTAATTTATATTCAAATGATTAAAATTTTGTTTTTTCAAATGTTGTTTAATTTTGGATAGATAGGATGTAAAGACCGACACAGGTTCAATTATAGTTTTTTTAGGTATTAAGTTAGAGCACTAAAAATATTAGGGATACAAGCGTGTAATGTCAAAATTTAAGGTTAAATATCCGATCGAGTTGAGTCATAAAATTTTGAGTTATTCGAGTCCTATTTTATATTTCGGAATTGAATTGAAATTTTTTCGAGTCACATCAAGTTTATGAAATTCAAGTCGATTCAAATTTTCGAGTTTATATTTAAATTTAATTATAAATATTTATAATATTATGACATTATTTGCTTCTAATTCAAATGGTATTTTATAACCATATACAATTCATACATATATATATATATATATATATATATATATATTTCTGTAGTTTTTCATATGTGATTTACATATACCATACAAAATCGACTTAAACTTAAAATCAATCTACTAATTACTAAAAATTTTAAGTTATTCAAGTTGTAATTTACAACTCAAATTGAACGCGAAATTTTTTCGAGTTGAGTTTATGAAATTATAATTCGAAATTAATTCAAGTCGAGTCAACTCAAAAAATTAATTTTTTAATTCGAGTCAAATTTTACAAACCCTTATATCAAATGATTAAGAGATATAACACACACTAACTTATACTATAGATTAATAAAAAAATTCAATTATTTTGGGCGTGAAGCACAAGCGCAATCAAGAGAGAGTGGTAGCAGTGCAGAGCATATCATACGTGGTGCTTACATAAGCGTCCTTGAAGACCACATCTGATTGGATTAAATTCAACGGTTCCGATCATTTTAAGAAGCCAAATCAAACGTCAAGCAACGCACCCTACGTGGTATAAATTTCTAACTTCATTGTTACTCGTACTCTCCACTCTCCAGTCTTATGTTTTAATTTGCTCTGTGTTTTCTTACCTTTCCACCTCCAGTCTATGTTCAAGCTATATTAAAATCGGATCTTTCCTCTCTTTTCTCGGAAAAGAAAATTCAGATTAATTTTCTCATCAATCAAACATATGCTCGCCATGGAGAATATTGAGAATATTGGCGACGAGTACAAAAATTATTGGGAGACAAAATATTTCCTTGAAAACGAAGAATACAGGTACCTTCTTCCTTTTCCATTTCAATTTGCGGTAAGAGTAAAATCCTTTTAGAAAGTGAAACGCCTTTGGCTGAGACAAACAGTAGAGGATTGAATTTGAGTTATTACGAATCAAGTAAAGAGATTTTAATTCTGTTTTGAATTGAAGCAGTTGGGCGATTGATGAGTTCTCCGGCTACTACGATTCGAGTTCTCCCGACGGAGCAGCCTCCTCCGTCGCCTCCAAGAACATCGTATCCGAGAGAAACAGAAGGAAAAAGCTTAACGAACGCCTCTTTGCTCTCAGAGCTGTTGTTCCAAATATCAGCAAAGTATGTCCTGTTTTATGCTTCAATTATCAAAGAAATTGGAGATCGATCCTTTGTTTGTTTGATGTTTGATGAAATGCTTCGCAGATGGACAAGGCTTCAATTATCAAGGACGCCTTGATTACATCCAGGAGCTGCACGATCAGGAGAGCAGAATCCAGGCGGAGATCATGGAGTTGGAGACTGGAAAACTGAAGAAAACTCCAGGGTTCGGGCATGAACAAGACCTACCGGTGTTGAGATCCAAGAAGACGAAGCTCGACAACGTTTTCGGTTATGGAGGATCAACAGCTTCCCCTATTGAAGTTCTTGAAGTAGTCTATTGAACCTATAATTCCCCCATCTCATGCTAGCAGTCGTTTTTCAAAACTGTTGACTTTCAATTAATTTTGGTTTTGGAAGCTGAAAGTGACGCACATGGGTGAAAAGACAATGGTGGTGAGCATAACATGCAGCAAAAGGATGGACACGATGGTCAAATTGTGTGAGGTTTTTGAATCTTTGAAGCTCAAAATCATCACAGCAAACATCACTGCGGTCTCCGGTGGGCTGTTGAAAACCGTGTTCATCGAGGTAAGTAATTTCCCCTTTTTTCCCTTTTAACATGTTCTGTTCCCATTCAAGTCGCATTTTGTTTTATTTTCTGAGTCGTGATACGCGACACCACCAGTAATACCTGCATATATTTATGACCTAAAACGGAAAAAAAATCGATGTTTACTCTTCAAGCAACTTAGATCCGTGCATACAAATAAGAATAAAATAGGACATTAAATCATATTAAAAATGATATTTTTAGTTAGTAGAATTTTAAAAATTATAAAATACTTATTTAATATTTCAATTATTATAAAATAATTATTAAATTTTATCAAACTATTACAAAATAAATCTTGAGCTTAACAAAATTTTATAACACACAATTTGATAAGTTTAATATATAAGCTTTAGAAGTTTTAGTAATTAAAAAAATTATTTCATCGTAGTTTAGTAACTATATGCATTCTTGCCAATGTTGGTATAAGTGGTAAGGATTCAGGAATTTGAGTTTATAAGGTTAAATTTGAATCTTACCATTATCACTCATTGTAACAATCTGTAAATTCTTATATAAATTTCAATTAGATCTTAGGTATGTTATAGTCCTCAACTAAAGATTTCAACTAGAGATACAAGGGGCGAAAAAGATTGAAACGGGAGATAAACTTTAATAAAGGGATGATCCACTACCATATTTTATTGACTAATTTAATATATACTTAGAAACATGACTAGGGATGGCAAACGGGTACGGTTTCGTGGATTCTGCACCGCATCCGCTCCAATTGGAGCGAGGATGGGTATAATTTTAGCGGGTAGTGGGCGGGTGTGGATTTATAAAGTGGTACCCGTCGTGGGTGGTGGGCGGGTAATGGGTTTGAGACATTACCCGCCCCGCATCCGCCCGCCCCGCATCCGCCCGCCCCACATCCGCCCACCCAGCTAAATATCTATTAAATTTTGGACCATTATGAATTTAGGTGTAATTTTAGAGACTAATTTATAAATTTTAATATTATATAATATATAACATATAATTTAACTAAATATTAAGGATATTTAGTCTTTAATCTGGTATTTAATTAGGGAAATATTCGGCTCTTTGATTAAACCCATAATTCCACTAACCACGTCACTTTCCATGTTCTTTAGCCTATGCTGCACATCCTGCCCATCCAAACACAAATTAGCCGTACTATAAGCATTAACATCAAAAGCAGCAGTTTCCATGTTCTTTAGCCCCTCAAAACCCATATTAGGCGCACTATGAGCATTAACATCGAAAGCAACACAACAATCCAACTCTGCGACTACATGCTCCCTATAATCTGTCTCCATAACATTCGTAGAGCCACTTCTCTGACAAATTGAAGCATGCGCTGCTACCCCATCACGAACTGTCTGGGAACTAACTCCAACATCTCATTAGTTTGTTGTCAGGCGGGTATAGATGGGTATGTCGCTAGTGGGTAGTGGGTGTGGAGATGGATTTGAAAATGTACCCGCGTGGGCGAGTGTGGATTTGAAAATTTGTACCCATCATGGGTGGTGGGCGGGTGGTGGATTGAAAAATAGTAGGTAGGTATGGGGATGGGGTATCCGCACCCGACTCACCCGTTTACCATCCCTAAACATGACAAATAAATAACTAATATGTACAAAAATAAAAGAATGAAATATTGAAGTACTTTGGTAATCATATTTCAGATACAGAAAATATCATATATTTTTTTTAATTTTTGCCTGAAACTTACCATACAACTTTGCTAGTGCAATTTAACTAAACAAATACTTTAATTTAATCGATCTCTGTAGTTTAATTATTTAAAGGTTAGTGGAATCCAGAATGTCCGAATAAAACTAGTTCCGACACAACTAAAGTGGGAAAGGAAAAGGGAAAGTGAAAGTACCATTATCTCCCACTTTAAACGAACAACATAACATCGATTATGAATAGTAGAGAAAAAATATTTAATAAATTGTTGTGTTTTTTAAATTTGAAAATATTTAAAAAAACTAGTTTATATATTCAAAAATATCATCTTATAAAAAAGTTGGTATACAACTATCTTCTGCTTATTTTTTTTAATATAACATATAATTAATGCATTGTTAGAGTAGAAATTTATATGGACTAATTGTGAATCACATCATGACACTGTTAAAACTTTTAAAATAATATAATTATTGATGGCTAAATTTTTTAGATAATGGCAAAATTTTTTAGATAATGCGTTGAAAAAAAAATTTCATCAAATATTTCTATTGAAAAATTATTTTCTGAAATAGGGTTATTGCTACAGTAATCTTGCAGGTCGCCATGTAATCAAAACGACCATGCAGGTCGCCACGCACGCCCTGCGATATATGAACATTTGCGTCTTTGTTTCTTGTTTTTATACGTTATCTTAGCCTTACAAATGGCTAGACCACCATTGTCCTTTGCTATTTTAGCTTTTGTTTTTGGCCCACGGTTGGTTCTTTCAAGAATACAATACAATAATACTCCTATTGTTTTGTGAATAAAAAAAGTACCATTGTTATTATTATTTTATGAATTTTCTTTTGGATATTTCTCGAATCCTAACTGCATCAAAATTAGATTATTTTTATAAAATTTTAGACATAAAAATCAACATTATTTTAAAATTTTAATTTAATATATTATACATAAACTTTAATTTTATACAATTATATATATATATATATATAAAATTCTAATTTGATAATAAATTATTAAAACTAATTCTATATGTCCGATTGATAGAACTATTGAAATTTTAAAATTTGTTTGTTGAATTTATATTATATAAAAAAATTAGTTAATTAGTTTAAGTTATATTATAATAAAAAATAGTTTATTAGTTAGTTTAAGTTATATAAAAGAATTAGTTTGTTAGTTTGTTAGTTTAGGGTTTATAGTTTATTAGTTTAGGGTTTAGAGTTTCCGAGTTTATTAGCATCAAAAATAGTTTGTTAGTTATATATAAAAAATATTTAATTAGTTTGTTAGTTAAATAGTTTAAGTTATATTTGTTTGTTGAATTTATATTATATAAAAAATTTAGTTAATTAGTTTATTAGTTTAAGTTATATTATAATAAAAAACAGTTTATTAGTTAATTTAAGTTATATAAAAGAATTAGTTTGTTAGTTTGTTAGTTTAGGGTTTAGGGTTTATAGTTTATGGTTTAGGATTTAATATTTAGTGTTTAGGGTTTAAGGTTTCCACTCATGTTACATATACTATAAACCCTAAACAATAAATCTTAAATCTTAAATCTTAAATCATAAACACTAAACCTTAAACTAATAAACTAACAAACTAAACTATAGTTTAGGGTTTAGGGTTTAGAGTCTAAGGTCTAGTATTTAAGATTTATTGTTTAGGGTTTATAGTTTTTGGTTTAGGGTTTAGGGTTTAGAGTTTAAGGGCTAAGGTTTATAGTTTATGATTTAAGGTTAGAGTTTAGGATTTAGGGTTTATAGTATATGCAACACAAGTGGAAACCTAAAACCTTAAATCATAAACACTAAACACTAATTACTAAACACTAAACACTAAACACTAATCACCAAACACTAAATCATAAACTATAAAACCCTAAACACTAAATTATAAACCCTAAACTAACAAACTATAAACCCTAAATCATAACTTAAACGTGAATTTTCCCCTTAAACAACTAATACACTATTCTTTTATATAACTTAAACTAACTAATAAACTATTTTTTATTATAATATAACTTAAACTAATTAACTAAATTTTTTATATAATATATATTCAACAAACAAATATAACTTAAACTATTTAACTAACAAACTAATTACATATTTTTTATATATAACTAACAAATTATTTTTGATGCTAATAAACTCGGAAACCTAAAACCTAAAACCCTAAACTATAAACCCTAAATCCTAAACTAATAAACTAACAAACTAATTTTTTTAAAATATAACTGAAATAACTAATAAACTATTTTTTATTATAACATAACTTAAATTAATTAACTAAATTTTTAATATAATATAAATTCAACAAACAAATATAACTTAAATTATTTAACTAACAAACAATTAAAGTTAGTTCAGATTTTAAAATTTCAATAGTTCTATCAATCAAACATATAGAATTAGTTTTAATAATTTCTTATCAAATTAGAATTTAATATATATATATAATTGTATAAAATTAAAGTTTATGTATAATATATTAAATTAAAATTTTAAAATAATGTTGATTTTTATGTCTAATTTTTTATAAAAATAATCTAATTGTGATGCAGTCAGGATTCGATAAATATCCAAAAGAAAATTCATAAAATAATAATAATAATGGTACTTTTTTATTCACAAAACAATAGGAGTATTATTGTATTGTGTTCTTGAATTGAAAGAACCAACCGTGGGCCAAAAACAAAAGCTAAAATAGCAAAGGACAATGGTGGTCCCCAAGAGCCATTTGTAAGGCTAAGATAACGTATAAAAACAAGAAACAAAGGCGCAAATGTTCATATATCGCGGGGCGTGCATGGCTACCTTTGCTTGGTCGTTTTGATTACATGACGACTTGCTTGGTCGTTTTGATTACATGGCGACTTGTAAGACTACTGTAGTAATAACCCCATTTCAGAAAATAATTTTTCAACAGCAATATTTGACGGAATTTTTTTTTCAACGCATTATCTAAAAAATTTAGCCTGATCCAACAGTGGTCGGTTGTAAATAACAAAGGTAAAAGCCAATGTAACACCCCATTAGCCCAGTAATACAAACAATATGTATATATGCAAAAGGGTTGATTTTCCTCAAGTTAAAAATTAAACAAATAAATTAATTGCGTAAATCCCAAACAGGAAAGTATATTCATTCTATGAATCAAATTATTTTAATACCAATCAAAAGTTGTATACTATATATGTACTATTTAATTAATATTGGAGATATTAAGTTTCTATTATGAAACCATCCAAAAGGATAAAGAATCACTAATACAACATATTTTACTTTACAACATGTATAATAAAATAAGGGGAAAAGAATACATTACCTTTCAAAACGTGATTGTCAACAACAAAATGTTCAAAAATACTGCAAACAATGAAACCAGATTTGCTTAGTTTAGGCGCAACAACATGGGAACAAAAGAACGTGAAGCGTACGATTATGCACAATCTAGAATGGAAGAACTGCTCTAGACCAAGACAACAATACAAATATACAACTGACGAAAATTTCTTTTATCCTCAAGTGATGTCATGGACCACAAGGGGTACTTGCAGTCTTACAAAACTCTAGACAAGAGTCATTCACATGGATTTTAAAAAATAAATCGAACAAGTCGGTTCAACCAGTTGTTCAAACAATACAACTATATAAGTCAAGCTGTAAATAAGAAAATTAGTAAAAAGAATACAAATATACAACTATATAAACCGTGTTCATATAGACATTCAATCCATTTTCAATCACAAGTCTCGGCTAAGATGAGAAATTTATTCAGGAGATTGTGAAAGATAAGCTACACACCTTCCTGCTGTCATCACTGGACAAAGTTTTCACAATTTTAGGCCTTGATGAAAAGAACACACTCCCAAGGGGACTGTAAGCAACAATCTCAATGCCAAGTTCTCTGGAAAATCATAAAAGAAATCACAGTCTCTTAAACTTTTTTCAAGTGTTATGCATAAATAAACCTGCAAGTTGGAAAAATGCCAGCCTCAACATCTCTGGACCACAAAGACCACTCTAACTGCACAACACTATCAACTAGTTTATTAAGTTCTCCAATTTGGGTCAAAATCCATTAATATAAATATCCATCTCAGCGTGACATTAAGACAAACACTTTATCAACTACGTGACCATCAAGCAAAAGGATGGGAATTGAAAAAACACAAACCGTGATTTAAATGGGAACCTTGGTATCAATCCGATGCTGATAATAAAGATCAATGCAATCAACTCCCAAACGTTTCAAGCTACCTTCAAAAGAAGCTCTAACATAAACAAGATCACCACAGATATCACTTTTTCCATCGGTATAACATATACAAAACTTGGCAGCCAATTCAACCCTTTCTCCAATGTCTTCTTTCAACACCTCCTCGAAGAGGAGTTCATTCGTATGAGGGCCATAAGAATCAGAACGTCGGGATTTCTCAATTCATAAAAGTGTGAAACGATAGAGTAAGAGTTAAGAACGATTTAGGTATGATATTAAGGGCACGACTATGTCTATTAAAGATGTGGATGGAAGAGCGGGTTACTCAAAGAGTTACGAAACGAATGTGAATGAGATGATCGATGAAAAATTGGCCGACGATTGTGTGCTCAAATAGGTTAAGAGAGCTAAAGGAAAGTAAAGGCTCAGACTAAGGAGATTAGGGTTTAGAAATTTCCAAAGAAATCCACGAGAGAATGAAAATATAAGGTATAAGAAATAAAAAAAAAGATGAAACTATGGAACTGATCCATAACTTTCTAACTTTATCAATTTGGAATCTAAATTTTCATAAATTACTGGTTTAATTCAAACTCCAAGTTTTATTTTTTTAATTAAACTCCATAATTGGATTTTTAATTTCATCAATTAATTGTTGGACTCTCACATTTTCATCATTGGTTGGTTAATTACAGATTTAGTTCCCTTTAAAAAAATGGTTGTCCCTTTTTTCCCATATGTATAGGGTAAGGGGAGGTAAGATAGTAGGTTGCCCCCAACACCATGTTGAGAGCAGCTTCCGTAGGAGACCTCCGAATTATGAAATACCCTCCGTAGGACTCGATCTCAAAACCTCAAAATTAAGAACCTTGTGCTCTACCAACTGAGCTGTATAGTCATTTCATTTAGTTTCCTTTAGTTTGTAACAATTCTAATTTAATCCTTACTTTGCATGTTTAATTACTATTTTGACCATTATTCTTTTATGTTTTGGTAATTTAGACTTAATTATTTTATTTAAAGTTTTATTATTATATTATTATTTTTTATTATTATTGAGATCAAACCTTAACCACACAAATTTATTGGCAAAATATCTGCATCATACCCAATCATAAGGATACTTGAAAAAAATGTAATTTTGTGACTTGGGCTCGATCTATGAAATGTCTAGTCGGGTACTCGACCCGATCAAGTAATTTTTTAGATAATTACTCGATTTTTCTAGTTTGGGTCGGCGGGTCAATGGGTCGGGTCAATCGGGTTGGATATTTTTCAATACCCCTAATTAAAATACATGTAATTTGAATCAATAAGGTTGGTTCAAGTGGTAAGCAACTTGATTTCGTTTAAGTAGGTCTTGAGTTCAAGTCATTGTGAATGCAAAAAATTCCCATTGGGAGACTCGCCCACCAAAGCCAGGTGTACAACCCAGTTCAGTTCAGATGTGTCAAGGCGAAGCCTTGGAACCGTAAGGGCAACAAAAAAACCAAAAAAATACATGTAATTTGAAAGTTTAATGATTAAAATTGAAAGCTTTAAAATGTTAATGAATAAAATGAACATGAGAATAAAATTGGATAAACATATCATTCAAAAGAAAAAAAAAGAAAAAAGATAGAGGGGTCCCTTATCGTCGGAGGGCGTGTGATTTGTTGGGGTAAATCGACGTCGGAAGAAGTGGAATTGGCTAGCAAAGATTCCATCGCCGCCGTGCCGGAGAGAACCAATAGCAAGAGAGTATATCAAATCCGTGGACGATGGATAGTTTAAGGTTTAGCCATTATGGGGAACAATCCACCCAACTAAAGATATCGCATCGTGTAGGAATTGAAACGGGCCGACATTTTTCTCCATCCAATTTTAATGCAAGAAATATTCAAATTATAGAAATAATTTAAAAAGATATGTATTTTAATATATATCAAGTGAGATGGATTTTATTTAAATTTAAATCCAATATGATTTTATAAAGTTTATGAATAACTTTAAAAAAATGTTTAAAAGGGATGAAGAGGTTAATTAACTTTTGTTGGAAGAATGATAAATCTTACCATAACATTCAATAACACTTACGGTAATTTTAAGGCAATAAATAATCACAAGTAATTTTTTTAAAAAAAAGAATAATATGGCGTCGTATTATTCTTTCTTATGATTTCTTTAATTTAGAAAATAAATTTAATGTAATTCTTTGATTGATATTTTTTGTCGTTTATTATTACGGTACTAACGTTATAGTTTATGATGTTGACTTAACAATTCACAGTGATTGATAATGTGATGAATGACATGACAGATGGTTAAATTAGTAATTAATTCAAATATGATAGATGAACTGTCACGTAAAAACCGTGAATTGTTATGTCAATATTGTAAATTGTTATGTCAACATCGCAGCAACAGTCAATAATGGAAATCATTAATCAAATTGTCATATTAAATTTTTTTTTGAGCTTAAAGTCACATTAATAAAAAAAATAATTTAAGGGCTATATTGTTTTTTTAATTGCAATGATTTCTGATTTTTTTAAGTATAATTTTAATATTAGTTAAAAGATTTTCTTGTGAAAGGAAGAAACTTAGAAATATTATTCCATCGAAATTTCAAACACAGTGCATTGGAGAGACACTTATTTTACAAGGACACATGGACTCGCCAAACTTACCTTTAAAACATAAGACTGCCGAAAACTAAATACTCTACGAAGTTGGACACATGGACTCATCGTTACATGCTCATCGGACTCTGTGGATCGTTCAGAGCTGCAATGGCTGTTTCAATCTGCACCTTTAGCTCATCCTTCTCCCTTTCATCCGCCTGCATTTATGTCGACCCACGATACTATTAAACAATGGAATTTAGTAATGAAGCTCAAAATTACATTTTGTTTTTTAAAATGAACCTTTTTAAGAAATATAAATAGAATAAAAATATTATCTATTGAAAATGAAATATCTTGGTTATTTTGGGCACAGTGTGTGTTCATTCCCTTCAACAAAAAGGAAATTTAAAAGGGAAAACATGTGAGAAATTTGCAAAGAGAGTATATATTTGACACGCTCTTTAATTCTTATCTGATAGATTCATCACGTATTTCTAAACAACAAATGAAATTATTAAAAAAAACCAAAGCAAGCCCTCCACATGGACCACATCCCAGGGAAAACTATAAAGATACAGAAAATTAAGGAAATTATAAATTATTACGTATTATGACAAAAAAACATATTCGAATATATCCATGTATATATGAAAAGCAAATGTGAAAAGATGACACATATTAAACCCTGCACGTTTTAAATGCAAAGGAAATTTGGGACTTGATTCGATGCAAAGGGCAGATTGTTACTTGGCATGAACTGATTTGGTTCCCAATGCATATTCCGAAAATCAGTTTGATTGCTTGGATGGCTCTTCTCAACAAACTGCCTACAAGAGACAGACTTCTTAAAATGGGAATTAGCACCGACAGTATTTACGTTAATTGCAGTAACTCTCACGAGTCGAGGGACCATCTTTTTTCACAATGTACAATGGTAGTGGGACTCTGGAATTCAATTCTGAACCTAAATGGGATGAATACAACTTTCTTATCATGGAATGAAATGGTCATAAAGGCTACTTCATTATGGAAAGGGAGATCCTTACGACCATTTTGAAAATTTCCTGGACTGCTGTTATTTACTCCTTGTGGAAGGAAAGAAATCAGCGAATCTTTCAAGGACGGAGTAGAACGATCGACTGCTTGCTAAAGGAGGTTAAGGACGTTGTTGGAATCCGTCTTGGGGGAACTAATATTAATTGACTAGATAGTACTAATTTAAAGCTTTGTAACGCTTGAGGTATAACATAACCAATCATTTTGTATAGGCTGTTTTTCTTTGGTTCTACACTGTTGAATGATTAATTGATTGTACTTAAACTCTGTTAGGATAATATAAATAGATTTATCCAAAAAAAATGAATGGGAAACAAAATTAGGTGCGTCGGTCCAAATACTTGTGTAAAGAATGAGGGGCTGGTTAAATGTGGTCTCATCTTTTTGAATTTTTGAATTTTTTTATTAATTAAATTTTATAATTTTATATATCCAAATGTTTAATATAAATTTTAAATTTGTATCATTAATATTAAAAAATTATGTTCATTTTTATTATTATTATTCATAATCACCACACTTTTCATGTCGAATGTAAGATAATAGATAACATTAATAATTATATCATTTTAAAAGTTTTAACAGTGTCATGATGTGATTCACAATTAGTCTATATAAATTTCTTCTCTAACAATGCATTAATTATATGTTATATTAAAAACAAATAAGCAGAAGATAATTGTATACCAACTTTTTTATAGGATGATATTTTTGAAGATATAAACTAGTTTTCTTAATATTTTAAAATATAAAACCCACAACAATTTATTAAATGTCTTTTCTCTACTATTGTTTATATATCTATTGAATTAGAAAATACCAAAAAAATAGCACAATCGATGATGTATTGTTATGTCGTACGTTTAAAGTGGGAGATACTGGTACTTTCACTTTCCCTTTCCCACTTTAGTTGTGTCGGAACTAGTTTTATTCGGACATTCTGGATTTCACTAACCTTTAAATAATTAAACTACTGAGATCGATTAAATTAAAGTATTTGTTTAGTTAAATTGCACTAACAAAGTTGTATGGTAAGTTTCAGGCAAAAATAAAAAAAAATGATATTTTCTGTATCTGAAATATGATTACTAACGTACTTCAATATTTCATTCTTTTATTTTTGTATATATTAGTTATTTATTTGTCATGTTTCTGAGTATATATTAAATTAGTCAATAAAATATGGTAGTGGTATGATTCAAATTTGACATTATAAACTCAAATTCCTGAATCCTTACCATTATCTTGACTATGGCATACCTAAGATGTAACCGGGATTTATATAAAAATTTACAGTTTGTTCATTATGAGTGATAGTAGTATGATTCAAATTTGACATTATAAACTCAAATTCATGAATCCTTACCATTTATACCAACCCTCGTTGGCAAGAATGCATATATTTACTAAACTACGATGAAATAATTTTTTTAATTACTAAAACTTCTGAAGTTCATATATTAAACTTATCAAATTATTATAGAATAGCAATTGTGTTATAAAATTTTGTTATGCTCAAGATTTATTTTGTAATAGTTTGACAAAATTTAATAATTATTTTATAATAATTGAAAATATTAAATAAGTATTTTATAATTTTTAAAATTCTAATAACTAAAAATATCATTTTAATATAATTTAATGACCTATTTTATTCTTATTTGTATGCACGGATCTAAATTGCTTGAAGAGTAAACTTCAAAAAAATTCCGTTTTAGGTCATAAATATATGCTGGTATTACTGATGTTGTCGCGTATCACGACGCAGAAAATAACACAAAATGCGACTTGAAAGGGAACAGAACAAGTTAAAAGAAAAAGAAAAAGGGGGGGGATTACTTACCTCAATGAACACGGTTTTCAACAGCCTACCGGAGACCGCAGTGATGTTTGCTGTGATGATTTTGAGCTTCAAAGATTCAAAAACCTCACACAATTTGACCATCGTGTCCGTCCTTTTGCTGCATGTTATGCTCACCACCATTGTCTTTTCACCCATGTGCGTCACTTTCAGCTTCCAAAACCAAAATTAATTGTAAGTCAACAGTTTTGAAAAACGACTGCTAGCATGAGATGGGGAATTATTGGGGTTCAAAAGACTACTTCAAGAACTTCAATAGGGGAAGCTGTTGATCCTCCATAACCGAAAACGTTGTCGAGCTTCGTCTTCTTGGATCTCAACACCGGTAGGTCTTGTTCATGCCCGAACCCTGGAGTTTTCTTCAGTTTTCCGGTCTCCAACTCCATGATCTCCGCCTGGATTCTGCTCTCCTGATCGTGCAGCTCCTGGATGTAATCAATGGCGTCCTTGATAATTGAAGCCTTGTCCATCTGCGAAGCATTTCATCAAACATCAAACAAACAAAGGATCGATCTCCAATTTCTTTGATAATTGAAGCATAAAACAGGACATACTTTGCTGATATTTGGAACAACAGCTCTGAGAGCAAAGAGGCGTTCGTTAAGCTTTTTCCTTCTGTTTCTCTCGGAGACGCTGTTCTTGGAGGCGACGGAGGAGGCTGCTCCGTCGGGAGAACTCGAATCGTAGTAGCCGGAGAACTCATCAATCGCCCAACTGCTTCAATTCAAAACAGAATTAAAATCTCTTTGCTTAATTCGTAATAACTCAAATTCAATCCTCTACTGTTTGTCTCAGCCAAAGGCGTTTCACTTTCTAAAAGGATTTTACTCTTACCGCAAATTGAAATGGAAAAGGAAGAAGGTACCTGTATTCTTCGTATTCAAGGAAATATTTTGTCTCCCAATAATTTTTGTACTCGTAGCCAATATTCTCAATATTCTCCATGGCGAGCATATGTTTGATTGATGAGAAAATTAATCTGAATTTTCTTTTCCGAGAAAAGAGAGGAAAGATCCGATTTTAATATAGCTTGAACATAGACTGGAGGAGGAAAGGTAAGAAAACACAGAGCAAATTAAAACATAAGACTGGAGAGTGGAGAGTACGAGTAACAATGAAGTTAGAGATTTATACCACGTAGGATGCGTTGCTTGACGTTTGATTTGGCTTCTTAAAATGATCGGAGCCGTTGAATTTAATCCAATCATATGTGGTCTTCAAGGACGCGTATATAAGCACCACGTATGATATGCTCTGCACTGCTACCACTCTCTCTTTATTGCGCTTGTGCTTCACGCCCCAAAATAATTGAATTTTTTTATTAATCTATAGTATAAGTTAGTGTACGTTCAAACTTAAAATATAACTCAAATAACTTAAAAATTTTAGTAATTAATAGATTAATTTTTAAGTTTGAATCGAAATTTGAGTCGAACCCATCAACTTTGTATGGCATATGTAAATTATATATAAAAAATATAGAAATATATATATATATATATATATATATATATATATGTATTGTACATGGCTATAAAATAACATTTGAATTGGAATCAAATAATGTCATAATATTATAAATATTTATAATTAAATTTAAATAAAAACTCGAAAATTTGACTCGACTTAAAATGTTATAAACTTGATTCAACTCGAAAAAAAATTTAAGTCAATTTCAAATTATAAAATAAGACTCGAATAACTCATAATTTTTTGACTCTACTAAATCGGATGCTCACCTCTAAATTTTGACATTACATGCTTGTATCCTTAATATTTATAGTGCTTCAACTTAATACCTTAAAGAAAAACTATAATTGATCCTGTTCCGGTCTTTACATCCTATCTATCCAAAATTAAACAACATTTAAAATTGAATCATTTGAATGGAAATTAAGTCAGATTTTAATTAAAAATCTCTTTCACACACCAAGGTCCCTTTCCGAAGGCAAGGGCTGAACGTCAAAATTGCTTGAATAGGAATAGTATTATGATTACATATACAGACTTTTATTACACGTTAATTTGACGCACTCCATGACATCTAAAATTAATAATATCTTAATTTTCAAAATATAATAAAATCTTTAGAACAACATGTTTTTTTATGGAGTGTTGATAGAGTTGACCGTGGTCAAAGATTAACAGATTATGATTCTTTTAGTGTTTAGGTCTGACTTATCTTACCCATTTATTATGATTTTTTAGTATTTAGATGAATGATTATCTCTTTATTTGATGTTCTATTTTTCTTAAATTAATATGAAGTCTATAATAATTTGGACACATATTTAAAGAATAATTTTTTATTTTCCAAATACAAAACCAAACCCTGGTTTGTTCTCTTTTATTACTAATTTTAAACTAACATGGTTGGTTTAAGTAATAAGCAATTTGACATCATTTAAGTAAGGTTTTAGGTTTAAGTCTTTGAGTATACAGAAAATCCTCACCGGAGAGACTCACCTACCAAAATCATGTGTGCGACCCGAGTCAATCCAAATTAATCAAGACAAAACCTTATAAACGGAGGAGAGCAACCCAAAAAAAGTATATGGCTATATAAAAAATTAATTAAATTAGAATCAAATAATATCATACTATTATAGAAAGCAACAATCAATTGGTTTAATAAGATGAGACATTAGATTTCTTAAACAATGTCAGGGATTCGAACCCTGCCATTTGTAAATAGAGTAAACAAGGTTGGGAAGATCGTCCTCGCCTCTACAGTATTTAATATGCATTAATTGATCAATAGAGCGAAAACTGATAATTAATTAAAAATAAATAAATACAAACCAATGCACCACGTGGCTGCTCTAATGACGTCATCATTCATGACTTCTTTAAGTGACGTAAGACTTACCACATTTGATTAGTATTTGATTCCTTGGATTTTCTCCCTTCACTTTTTCAATAGTATCCGCCCTTCCTTTTCAGACGTGTAAAATGTGATATTTTCTTATTAATACGTTGGAAATAAAGATAATATTTATTTAAAAATAATTAAATTCATTTAATATTAAATATTTGTATTTATGCCATTCTTAATACCCGAATTAAAATTTTAAATAATAATAATAATAATAATTTTATAATATCCGCTCTTTCATTTCGGACCTATAAAATATGAATTTTCTTTTTGAAACTTATATAAAATGTGATTTAAATAAACATATACTCCATATATTAAAAAGTAAGATGCACTTTGTTAATTTTGTCTTCTTCAGGATCATGAGTTTCTATTTATGCATGGATAGTTAATTTCTTTTGTAAAATTATTTCACTGCAACCAGTACCGTCGAGTTGTATTCCTTGCATTAACTTTTAGGAGGAATATGTCACGTTTAAATAGTATGGTTAAACATTACTAATAATAAACATCGTTGAATACCATTAATTTAATTTATAAAAATTTAAAATTCTAAAAGACTCAATATATAATTATTAATTAGTTAAAAATTAAATGTAAATTATTTAAAATAAATTATTAATTATATTATTTTTCATATTTTTTAACAATAAAAAATTATAATTTATCTTTAAAAAATATTTAAAAGATTATTAAAAAATGATGAAAAATAATATAATTAATATTTTATTTTAAATAAGTTACCTTTAAATTTTTAAATAATTTATAATTATACTTTGAGTCATTTAGAATTTTAAAATTTTATAAATTAAATTAATGGTGTTCAACAACAACACTCACAATTAGTGATAATCATAGTCATCTAGCATTGTATAACTTTTCTAACTTCTATTATTATTTATACTAAAATGGAAACGTTTAAGAAAAAAGCTTTTACAAACAAGTGAGCACGACTTCAATTTCATAGAAAGATGTATTAACAATAACATCGCTAGAAATTTAGGATTGATAAGCCAAAGTAATTAGTGGTTTAATGTTTAATGATTATTTTTTTGTTAATACGGGGTAATTACAAGGTATTTATTCTAAAATAACTCTCATCCTTTCGATATTGAATACTCACATCTCTGACATTCATGATGTTCAAACCCGGATCTTCAAAGAATAACAATAATTTATTTACTATAAAAGTCACTCGGTTCGTGCTTAATGATTAAAACTTTAGATCTGAATTTTATGAATTGAGAAACTAATATTAAATAGGATTAAAGTCTATAGAAAATTTATTTTATATCTGGATGCATTGCTTAACATTTGATTTGGTTTCTTAAAAATGATCATAGCCGTTGAATTTAATCCTATCAGATGTGGTCTTTAAGGACACGTATGTAAACACCGCGTATGCTAGGCCCTGCATTACCACCACTCTCTCTTGATCACATTTGTGCTACCCCCAAAATAATTGACATATGTAAACAAATTTTAAAATGGATGGTTATTCCATGCTAACGAATACGGTTAACGATAAATATTATTAATTTAATTTATAAAATTTTAAAATTAAAAAAATTCACCGTATACTTATAAATTAGTTAAAAAAATTAAGGTAAATTAGTTAAATTAAAATATTTATTATATTATTTTTCATCTTTTTGGGTAAACTATAATAATAACCACCTAACTATTGCTCCTTTTTCATTTTGATCATCATTTTTGAAAATTTTTCAATCAGGTCACTAAATTATTTAAATACATTCAATTAAGTCACTTGTCGTTAATAATTAATGGAAGTGTTGACTTGACAATTAATAAAATTTATATAATTATACATTTAGTCCTTATTACTTACAAAATCTATCAAATTGGTCATATGTTGAAATTAATTCAATATTTTAGCGTAAACTATACTATTGACCACTAAACTATTTAACTCTTTTACTTTTATCTTTGATCTTTCAATTTTGTCAATTAGACCATTAAACTATTTAATTGTTCTTAATCAAGACACTAGTCGTTTATATTTAACAGAATAATTGACGTCACAGTTAAATAAATTGGTATATTTATATATTTGGTCCTTATTACTTGTACATTTAACCAATTTGATCCTAATGGTAATTTAATTCAATAAAATTAATTTTCAAATCAGATAGTGGCATATGTCATCGTTTGGTTAGAGAGAATTTTTAATTTATTTAATTTAATAAACTTACAATCCAATCATAAGATGACAATGAAATCATAAAATAACAACGACCATTCTTGCACCCAGTTGGTTCGAACCAGCAACTAAAAGTTTAATCGAGTACAACTCTACCACTGGGGCGGACCATACATTTTGTTTTGTTTTACAACATAATATATATATATATATATATATATTCTATTATTCTCAATTGCAGAAAAATAACGAAAAAAATTGGGTTGTAACACCCTAAATTATAGGCTAGTAGTTTTGTGTTTACCCGAGAGGTAAGTGAACTCCGTAGATTTCATGGTTTAAGTCATTGGGCTAAATTGGGCTTGGATTTGGGTCCAATTAGCCATAGAAAAAGTTTTAAAATGAAAAAAATAAGAAAGGAGTATTTGTGCAATTTTCCAGATTTACAAATATGAGGGTTTTATATTTCATCGTATTTCTCCTCTCTTCATTTTCTCAATAAACTCTTCTCACTTCTTCCTCCTAAGCATCTTAGCTCAAAGGTAATCTTTTGGGTATCTTTTATACTTCAATTTCGTTCTTAATCCATCTAGCAACATCATTTTTATGGTGCAAAGCTTTGGGTTATTTGGTTGCAAGGAAATTTAGGGGTTTTGTCATCCAAGACACAGGGGGAGGTATTTGGTGCTTGTTGAAACATTTTAATATTTCGATATAACAAATTAAGTTAAATGGATTTTAAGATTTTCCAAATGATTTTCTAAGTATATTCGATATAACTATTCGAATATCAAAACATTACTCCAAATATTTCAAAAATCATTTTTGATCCTTACTTAAGTGTAAAATTAAGTTTTAATCATAAAACAATTTCAAAATATTTTACAAAGTATTTCGAACCAATTCAAAGCCAAAAATTCCAGATTACTCAGAGGGAACCGATTCCCCCCCATAGGAGGAACCGATTCCCCCCTGAATGGTTTGGCTCCGAGATTTCCAGAATGCTCGGAGGGAACCGATTCCCCCCAAGGGGGTACCGATTCCCCCCTGTTCAACGGTCGAAATATTTGAATTTTACACTTAGGGAACCGATTCCCTATGAGAGGGAACCGATTCCCCCCACGCTCCAAGCTGTTTTATTAAATGTTTTCACACTAAAACGGCTATAATATCTTCTCTAATTATCCCCAATGTTCAGAAGTGATCCAAGGTGTATTTAAGCAAGCTTAGAAGCCATTGATCAACAACAAGAAACATCAAGCAACTAGAATCAAGAGAGAATCAAAGAGAAAGCATCAAACCTCAAGTTTGAGCATTTCAAGCCCATTTTCATTCAATATTCATTTTGCTTTCAAGAACACTTTTTGTGCTCAATTGTATTCATCTTTGAGTGTTCTTTTCTTTGTTCTAGAATTGTGCAAACATCTTACCTTGTGAGGTTTTCTTGTAAGTTTGCAAATTTGTAATCTTCTCTTTGAGAAAAGAGTGTTCTCAAGAGTTGGGGTATACTCTTGAGGGAATTGTAAGGTTATCTCTTTGGCCTCAAAAGAAAGAACAAATTAGTGAATTTGTTGGAAAATCCTTAGTGTGGATAGCTAAGGTAGTGGACGTAGACTTTGTTTGAGAAAGTCGAACCACTGTAAATCGCTGTGCAATTACTTTCAATTTTCTGCAAAAGCTTCCACAAAATTTTTATTGCCAATTCACCCCCCTCTTGGCCAATTTCGTCATTCGATTAACTCAACAATTGGTATCAGAGCCTAACTCATTTGAAGGTTTAATCGCCTCTTGAGTCGATCCGGGAAGAGTTACATCGATTACAAAGTCATCAATGGCTTCCACTTCAAACTTCGACTCCGGTCTCGATTCGATGCCCGTCAACAAGCCTCCTTTCTTCAATGGAGCTAACTATGCCTATTGGAAGAATAGAATGATGTACTTCATTCAAGCAAGTGACATGGGAGCATGGAATGCTGTAGAAGAAGGATACATCAAACCTCTCACTCATCCAAGGTTGTGGAGTGAAGGAGAGACAAGAATGTTCCAGCTCAACTCCAAAGCCATCCATATTATTTTTTGTGCTCTTGGACCAGATGAATACGGAAGAGTTTCATCGTGTACAACCGCCAAAGAAATATGGGACAAACTTCAAGTCACACATGAAGGTACAGATGAGGTAAAGAAATCAAAAATTAGTATTCTAACGCATAGATATGAAAATTTCAGGATGAAACCAAATGAAGAAATCAAAGCTATGACGGATAGATTTTCAACGATTGTCAATGGTCTCAAATCATATGGAGAGATCATCTCAAATGAAAAGCTTGTGAGGAAGTTAGTCTACTCCCTCCCAAAATCATGGCAATCAAAGAAGACGGCAATCATCGAGTCTAAGGACCTATCGTCCTTAACTCTTGAAGAAATTATCGGTTCACTCCTCACTCATGAGATGATGCTTGAAGATGAGGTGGACCTTGATAAAGTTGAAGAGACACCAAAGGAGAAGGAGAAGAAGAAAAACATTGGAGTTGCTCTCAAATCCACAAAAGATGAGAGTGATTCTAATGATGATGATGACGAGGAAATGGCATTGTTTGCCAAACGGTTCAGAAAAATGATGAGACCTTACCAAGGAAGAAAATTCAAACGAAACGAAGGCCTCAAAAATGAACCAAAAGAGAAGGACCCAATCATTTTCTATGAATGCAAAAAGCCGGGCATGTCAAATATGATTGCCCATAATTGAAGAAAAAGGGTCAATCAAAGAATAAGCACAAGGCTCATGTGGCTACATGGAGCGATGAAGAAGGTTCCGATGAAGAGGAACAAGAAGTAGCAAACTTGTGCTTGATGGCATTCGGGGAAGATTCTAAGGTAACCTCTAACTCATCTGATTTTGATGATTTATCTTATGATGAGCTATTAGAGGAATATAATGGGTTGGCTTTGGATTATGAGAAATTATTTTTAAAATATAAAAATGATGTTTCAAAGTTGAAAATGAAAATAAACTCATATCCAAAACCAACAATGATCTTGAAAGTAAAATTAAAGATTTGCAAATCAAACTAGAAGAGTTTGAAAAGAAAAATTTAGATTTGCAAAATTTACTTTCAAAGGTCAATGATGATCATCAAAAGAAAATTGATGATCTTAAAACCTCTTTTGATAAAGTTGGAACAAAACGTTTTGAAAAAGGAGAAAATTCAAAATCCAACTTTGTTAAAAAAGATTTTAGAAACTACAATCATAGAAATCCTCAACGAACCTTAATGGTAAAATATTTAGAAGTATGGGTTCCTAAAGGACTCATTACTACTAAAGATAAAGATATCCTACACAAATGGATACCTAAGGGAACTAGGATTTTGGAAACTAATGAATATGGACCCAAAAGAATTTGGGTACCAAAAATAAAAAATTAATCTATGTTTGTAGGGAAAGGAGCATTGCTACAAGGCACGGGAAACAAATTCAAATTCATGGTACCTTGATAGTGGATGCTCAAGACACATGACCGGAGACAAAAGCCGGTTCATAGAGCTTAACGTCAAAAATGGAGGAGAAGTGACTTTTGGTGATAATTCAAAAGGTCACATTGAAGGTATTGGTACAATAGGTAATACCTCTTCCATACAAATTAAAAATGTTTTATATGTGAATGGATTAAAGCATAATCTATTGAGTATTAGTCAATTATGCGATAAGGGATTCAATGTCTTGTTTGAAATTAATGGTTGTAAAGTTATTGACATTGCATCTAATCGAATTATGCTTGTTGGTCATAGAATAGGAAACATTTACATGGTGCATTTAGATTCTATTGATATGACAAATTTATGCCTAGTTGCTAAGGATGAGCATGATAGTTGGTTATGGCATAGGAGACTAGGTCATGCTAGTATGAGTGTTTTGCAACGGTTAATTCAAGGAGACTTAGTAAGAGGGTTGCCTAAGCTTAAATTTGATAATGATAAAATCTGTGATGCTTGTGCTAAAGGAAAACAAAACGAGTTTCTTTTAAATCTATTAATGATGTATCAACTAGTAGAGTATTACAATTGATCCATTTAGATCTTTTGGGCCAACTAGAACTACTAGCTTGGGAGGAAAACAATATGCATTTGTCTTGGTAGATGACTATTCTAGATACACTTGGGTTCTATTCTTAAGTACTAAAGATGAAGCATTAGAAAATTTCATCACATTTTCAAAAATAATCCAAAATGAAAAAGGTTACTCTATCACTAGTGTTAGAAGTGATCATGGAACTGAATTTGAAAATCTTGGATTTATTGAGTTTTGTAATTCTAATGGTATTAGCCACAAATTTTCAGCACCTAGAACCCCTCAACAAATGGAGTTGTTGAGAGGAAAATCGAACTTTAGAAGAAATGGCTAGAACCATGCTTTGTGAAAATAATTTGCCAAAATATTTTTGGGCGGAAGCCACAAATACCGCTTGTTATGTTATAAATCGAGTAATGATTAGGCCAATTTTAAAGAAAACTCCATATGAAATTCTCAAAAATAAAAAGCCTAACATTAGCTATTTTCATCCTTTTGGATGTAAATGTTTTGTTTTAAACAACGGTAAAGAAAATCTTGGTAAATTTGATGCTAAAAGTGATGAAGGAATTTTTCTGGGTTATTCCTTAAATTCTAAAGCTTATCGTGTATTTAATAAAGAACTTTAGTTGTAGAAGAGTCTATACATGTTGTTTTCGATGATATCCCCTTCCGAGGAAGGATTCTTCTGTTAATGATGATGTAGGTATTGTACAAGCAAATGACGTTAGACATGACGTTGGAGAATCATCATCAAAGGAAGAAACAAAAGATGAGGAAACTCATGATCCCCTCGAGAATCCAACCATTGAAGAAAGGGAAGTATCTTTTCCAAGAGAGTACAACTATGTCAAGGATGGTGAAATTATAGGTGATCCATCAAAAGGGGTAACTACTCGATCTTCTCTTAGAAATATCTGTAATTATGTTGCATTTATTTCATGCATAGAACCCAAGAACATCAAAGAAGCATTAAAAGATGAACATTGGATCATGGCTATGCAAGAAGAATTAAATCAATTTGAGAGAAGTAAAGTATGGACATTAGTTGAAAGGCCTAGTAATAAATCTACTGTAGGTACTATATGGGTTTTTAGAAATAAACTTGATGAAAGTGGTAATATAGTGAGGAACAAGGCTAGACTTGTTGCTCAAGGCTATACTCAAGAAGAAGGCATAGACTATGATGAAACATACGCTCCCGTAGCTAGGATGGAAGCAATTAGAATGTTATTAGCATTTGCATGTTTCAATGAATTTAAATTATATCAAATGGATGTTAAAGTGCATTTTTAAATGGTTTTATAAAAGAAGAAGTGTACGTGGAACAACCTCCAGGTTTTGAAGATTCAAATTTTCCGGATCATGTTTTAAAATTGACAAAAGCTCTTTATGGTTTAAAACAAGCTCCTAGAGCTTGGTATGAAAGATTGTCAAATTTTTTAATTGAAAAGAT